TGTGTGTGAGTGCATGTATGAGATTTTGTATGTTTGTAGGTGTGACGTTTATTTTGCAATCTTGTGTGCTTTGCCAGGGTTTTGGGACTAAGGGTGTCCGTCAACTGACTGTTTCTCTCGCGAATCAGTACCATAATGTAAAATTTGAGGCAGGTTTTGCTTGGCTCGGTAAGATTAATATTATATTATTAACACAGATTTAAAATACATGTCAAGCGTTCTTGCGTATTACGAACATAGACAAAGAACGTTACGAACATAGACAAAGAACGTCGTGTAATCTTTCACGTTTTCTGAGACAGAAAATAGATATCAAACCATGTGTTTCGTGGCTTAGCATACTTTTTCCAACTGTACCGAAAACTGTTCAGGTTTTTTTATGTACAAGTCGGGCTTTTGCTGCTGTTTCGTCAAGCAAATGCCTTTTTTCTCTTTTTCATTTATAGCAATGCTTTCCCTTTGCCGTATGTGTACGTGTATACAATTTACTCCATTAACCTTTGATGAGCCAACATCTGCCGGCAGGGCAGTGGAGAGCTGAGAGTGGCTATTGAATCTCCAGGACAGCTCAACCATCCTTTGGAAAGTTTTGCTTTAGTGAAGCTTACCGCTATCTTCTTCATTAAAACAGCCAGATGGGTCGATTTAGTTGATAACAAGCCTACCGATCTACAGCGAGTTGTGGACTATCTGTTTACCAAAAACAATGACAACCCCTGACCTGTGACAAAAATAGAACCAAAGCCAGTAGAGGTGAATAAATTATAAGAAGGAACAAGGGAGGTGTCTTTATGTGGAGAAAAAAGGCTGGAAGGAGTGTTGAACTACGACTACGGACAGAGCTGGTGATTTCGCTCCTGTTCCGTTTCTGAATTTTGATTGTGTGACACCTTTGTGACCTAAATTTTCTTTTTTTGCTGGTCTCTACTTTAAAATAACTCTGAAAAGGACATAGAAGTCATACAGCATGCTAATCATTATAAAGGTCTAATGAATGTCTCCATCTAGAACTTACTTGATCTACTACACTCATCCGGGGTCTTCACTCTCAGTGGGGTCAGCATGAAGATAGCCGTGACGTCATGCGTGGAAAACGAGTTTAACTTATGGAAGGATACATTACCTTTTACCTTATTAATTCTAAAAGCTCAGATGGAAAATGACAACCTGAAACAATAACAAAATTGGCTCTGTAAAAGGAAAAGATATATGATAGAACGATACAGATCTATTACATTATTATTGATCTAGCTTTTACTTTCTGCCGTTATTACAAACAATCATTACTTAATCAGTTCCAAAATTATAGACCTTCCTTCTTAAGTCTTGCTGCAAAGTCGGCAATACATATGAAATTCGTGTACCTTGGTTGTTTGGAACGAACACAAAAGGTTCAATTCACATCATATTTTTTTTATTGCCCAGCCTCCCCTATTAAAAATTGTACAGTTCCTGTCTGATTTCAATTTACATTTTGGTGTGTAAAAAAGATTTGTACCTCCTTTCCAAAATCTTTCTAAATGTTCCGTAGATCCTAAAATGACATGGAGTTGGTAATCGTAACTAGCGATTTAGCTTACCCTTTTAGGCACATTAGCCCCAAGAAGTGCCTTTTTTGTTCTTGCGTTCTATGGGTTAATTGGCCGACATGTTTTTAATGCAAAATAGGGTCTTTAGTTCTGATTCCTTGAGGCGGACCAGTGATTTCCTAAGTATGGGTTTTTGGCATGCAATCGACACACGTGAGTATTTATGTGAAAATGATTTGAAAAGTGTCCAGGTGCGTTCGCAGTGTCATTCAGTTCAGCAGATTACCCTTGGATTATAAACTCTTTTTCGTTGTATCGAAAGTGAATAGTATTTCAGTTTGTGCTACAAAATCTTCTCATCTAGGATTGCAGAGTGTATGAAATACATAATAAACAAGTCTTCTGTCCTAATTCCTGGACAAGTCACTGTATAATAAGGATTATTACAGCATTATTATATAGATGTACTTGTGTCTATGGTAGAACAGTAATGACACTCACTCAAAGGAGAAAGGTAATTAGTATATCCAGAGAAAGAGAGAGACAGAGACAAACATACACACACACACACACACACACACACACAGAGAG